CCTGCCCAGGATACTCCCACTCTACGTAATTCCCATTCATATGCTTGACCCCCACTGCAAGAATCCATGGATATTTTCTTCTGGCCCTACTGCCGAGTTACCGGCAAAGGCAGCTCGCCGTTAGAATCGACCGTGGCGCCCCACCTCTGTTGGGGTCTCACTTATTCTGGCTGCGACTCCTGTCGATTTGACCGACCCCGTTGGATATCGACACTACCGCCATCTCCCGGCATTCCCCCTACGGGTCTTGTATTATCATTATATACACTCCCATTAATTTCAATCAATTGATAGAAAACAATGTTATAAACAGTGCAAATATAAACTAATAATTCGTCTATCCACTTTTATTGTGTTTTCAGATATCATTTCCCCCTTTTTAGCCCCAGAAAATGACAATCCTAATAGCCACGCAACAGCCACGCAAATACCGTGGCTGTAGCGTAGCTCCTGGATTCCCAGGGATAATTTGGCGCTAGTGTTGCGCGGAAGCCATTTATTTATTGCTGGCTAGCAACAACAGTCAGCTGTTGAATTACTCCAGTTTTTGTTGCTTCTTTGAGAGACGAATACGAATAAATGGGAAAGCTAGGCGCACCAGACTTTTCCCTCGATGTCAAGGGACAAATTGTTGGAATGTGGAGAGCAGGATATCGGACAGTAGATATTGTTAGAGATCTCAATGTCAGCGTAAGTTTTTGTCAACGTTAAATTGTTAATACCACCATGGAATCCCCAAATGAATAGATATGATCCTTAAATTGCCGCACGCTCGCATGACGAAATTTCATAGAAAACTATAGCGAATTCGCTGCAAGATTCCATTGAATTTTAATTGAATTTTCTATCATTTTTTTATCAAGAAATAATAGAATATAAATGTTTAATAGAAAATATTGTGAAAAAAAATTGAAGAATTTGATTTTTACATTTTCTTTTGTTTGATTTTTCAAATGAAATGTGAAGAAAAATGGAATGCAAAAAACGCAGAAAATTTATGTCCAGGAATTCCTATAGGAAATGTGTCCATAAGACACTTGTATAGAAATATGAAAGTCTACTGACTTTTTAAATAAAATATGATGCATTGAACATTTTCTAGAATGAGGAAACGCGCAGTGAAGCTACGGAATTCATAAATAGAATCTGCCAAAAAATAATAGAATTTTCAACAGAATATAAATCCAATAGATTTTTCTATCGAATCCGCTACCTTAGTTTTGAGGCTTTCGCGGCCATTATTAATGACGTGGTTGGCTTCCGGATGGATGCCGCGTTGAGTTTCAGCATTGCGCCGACGTTTCGCAAACATTGCAGTCTGCATCTTCAGGGCTATGAGCTCCGATTCTGAGCTCCGATGTGTGGGGGCAGTCCTTATATACCTTCCCTTGTGGTGGTGTGAGAAGGGGAAGGGGGGGGGGTCAGCCAATCATATGTTTTTAATTGATCAGCTGGTCAATTTGCGAAACGTCGGCGCAATGCTGAAACTCAACGCGGCATCCATCCGGAAGCCAACCACGAATCCGCTACCTTTTCACTATCAAGAGCATGACATTCAGCTATAGCAGCTACGCAAATGTTCTTTATTCACTCTTAGATTTCCTCCCGAAACACCCTTAGAGAAAAATTAGAATTCCATGGACACGTATGAAAAAATTTAATAGAAAAATCTAGCGAATTCGCTAAACAATTCTATTGGATTTCTATAGAACTTTCTATAAGATTTTGGCCGTTTCTATTGACATGTTGGATAGGAAATATTGTATAGAAAAAGTCAATAGAATTGGCTTTTTCTTTACAACTTATTCTCTTGAAATATTTTCTGTAGAGTTTTCTCGGCTTGAATTTTCTCAGTTTTTTTCACTTCATTTTTATTTTCTTTCCATCAAGAAAATCAAAGAAAAAAACTTCGAAAATTTGAGCCGAAAAAATTCTATAGAAAACATCTCAATAGAATAAGTTGTATAGAAAAATCGAATTCTGTTGACTTTTTCTATACAATATTTTCTATTGAACATGTCAATAGAATCGGCCAAAAACTTATAGAAAGTTCTATAGAAATCGAATAGAATCGTCTAGCGAATTCGCTAGGTTTTTCTATTAAATTTTTTCATACGTGAACTCACTTGAATTTTCAATCTAGACATGAATATTCAGTATACCAAATCACGTATAAAAAAACTTCAATAGAAAAACCTAGAAAATTTACTAGACAATTCTATTGGATTTCTTTAGAACTGTCTATAATTTTTTGCCATTTCTATTCACATGTTCAATAGAAACTATTATCTAGAAAAAGAAAGTAGAAGTCCTCAGATGGATACTCGTATCTCCAGAACCCTCAACAGTTACACCTCAAGCTACACTGCAGAATGCATCGCGCTTACGCTAGTGATGAAATTCATAAAAGGAAATCCAGGCCATAAATACGTCATACTAACAGATTCATTGAGTGCCTGTCAAGCTCTCAATGGTGGGAAATTAACTGTTAAAACAAATCCATATATCACAGAAATCAGAGAAGAATTTGTTAAAATAACCAAAAAAACCAACCCCCCAACAGAAATCTCAATCATCTGGATTCCCTCGCATTGTGGCATTGAGGGTAACGAGGAAGTCGATAAGTAGGCGCGAGAGGCGATAGAGAATCAGAGTGTTGAATTTGGGGTCCCTTACACTGACTTTCGAGCACAATGTAAAAGTGAAGAACGCAAAAAAACAGATAATAAAATTGTAGAACGGGGAACCAAAAAAGGAGTAGAATACTTTGAACTCTATTACAAGGACTCTGCAAGACCCTGGTATGGAAAGTGCAAGCTCTCTAGAGAGAGCATAGTAACCGTCAACCGCGTTAGAGCAAACCATTACCACCTTGCAGCCTCCTTGGCTAGAGTGGGGATCCAATGATCCCAGATGCCCGTGTGGAGCAGAAAGCCAAACTTTCGATCACATATTGTGGCACTGCTCCAGGTACGAGCAACAAAGACACAAACTTTTAGAGAGACTCAATAAAACAACGTGTACTAGGCCCTTCAACACAAGAAAATTTGTAAATGCGACAGATTTTAAATACATAGAAGAAATATGCAAATACCTAAAAGACTGTAAAATCCAGGTTTAATCTAAGTAATGTGTAATAAGAAGACGTAATTGAATTAATATTGATTAATATATGAAAGTGTAAATAACCTAATGTATGGGTTTCAGCACTCTAAAACAATAAAAAAAAAAAAGAAAGAAAGTAGAATTTAATTTTTCTATAAAACTTATTCTATCGAAATATTTTCTATAGAATTTTCTCGGCTCGAATTTTCCAAGCCTTTTTTTCTTTCTATTTTTCTTTCCTTACTATTAAGAAAATCAAACAAAAAACTCAGAAAATTTGAGCCGAGGAAATTGTGTAGAAAAAATCTCGATAGAATAAGTTGTATTGAAAAATCGAATTCTATTTGCTTTATCTGTACAATATTTTCTATTGAACATGTCAATAGAAACGGCCAAAAATTTATAGAAAGTTGTATAGAAATTGAATAGAATTGCGTGATTATGCTGAATTTTCAATTGTCTGAGAATTCATGAAAATATTCACCTGAATCTTCTTGTTTTCATGATTTTTCATGAAATAATAGAACTGGATTCTACCGTTTCCATTGGTTTTTCCATAGAATATTGAATTTTCAATGAAGAAATCCCTGAAGTTCCACGGAACTTAAAAATGATACAAATTTGAGACAAATACACCTGAAATTTCAGTCAAAAAATTTAAACAGGAACCTTAGCATGTCGAGTATTTTTTCAACATCGCCAATTTTCTTAAATCTTTCTCAATGTTCCTCTCTATATATTTCTAGTTTCGTACTGTCAAGAGATACATAACATGTTTCAATGAGGAAGGAAATGTCGCGACTCACCCACGTTCTGGAGCTCCTCGAGTAACGACTGAAGCGATCAGACGTGCCATAGTTGGTGTTGTTGAGGACTCTGGTTTCGTTACTGCTGGACGGATTAGAAGACAGCTCCAACTGCCCATCTCCGACCAAACAGTACGTAAATGTCTTCACGAAGGTGGTTACCACGGTCATAAACCTGCAAAAAAACCAAGAATGACACAGGCACACAAAGATACTCGTGTGCAGTTCGCACAACGACATCTTCACTGAGACCAAGAGTGGAATCAGATGGTTTTCGTTGACGAAAAGATATTTGGTACGGACGAAACTGGCAGAGTTACACTCTGGCGGCCAAGTAACACTCGATATTTAGATCGCAATCTACTCCATCAATGGAGACAAGGACGAGTAACTGTGTCCATGTGGGGCTCGATGACTGCTCTTGGTATGGGGGACATAGTGATAGTACGTGAAAGAATGAATGGCGAAGATTATCTGAGAATTCTTCAGGAGGTGATGTATCCACACGCTCAACAATGGTTCCCAGAAGGGAGGATAAATTTGGTTCAAGACAATGCAGGTCCCCATAGAGGCTTGATTGTCAGAAACTGGATTGAAGATCAAGAGCGTCTCCACTGCCTCCAGTGGCCTGCACTATCTCCGGATTTGAACCCAATTGAGCATGTGTGGGCTCTTTATCAACAAAATTGGGACAATCAAGAGAGAATTCGGGATTAAGAGAGCCTCATTGATTATATTGTTCAACACTGGAGGGACTTGAGGGAAGACAGGGAATTCTTCTATAATCTCGCGCAAAGCATCCGTCGTCGATTACAAGCAGTGATAGACAGCAACGGTGCTCCTACCCGTTATTAATTATATGTATCAGAATTCTCCACAATAAGTGCCACTGTAAAAATTTATTGAGCATTGTTTTATTCAGCGATCAGTGAAAAAATTCAAGGTGAGCAGATCTCATGCGGAAAAAATCATAGAAAAACGTAACAAATTCGTTAGGAAGTTCCATTGAATTTCACAGGATTATTATTAAAAACTCTATTAATTTTTCAACAACTTCATTTGGATAAAATGCAGCTTATCTGCGCATTATTTTCAGCGGAAAACGATTGATTGAAAATACTTTATAGGAAAAATCAATGTAATTGAATATTTCTACACAACTCATTATATTGAAAATTTTTCCATAGGAATGCCTCAGTCAAAATTTTCATATTTTTCTAATTTTATTTTTTGATGAGACCCTAAAAATAATGAAAAAATTGAAAAAATTTGTCGAGGTTGTTTTTCTAGGGAATATCTCAATATAGTACGTTTTATAAAAACATCAAATTATGCTGATTTTTTCTATAAAATATATTTTTTGAGCATTTTCTATTGAAGAAAGGCGCAGGAGAATTGTGGAAGTTATCAATAAAATCGGTAGAAAACTGATAGAATTTTCAATGAAACACGAAAACATTCATAGAAAAATCAAGGTAATTCGATAGAAAATTCTATTATTTTTTGGTCGATTCTTTTGAATAATTCCACAGCTTCACTGCGTATTTTTTCATAGAAAATGTCCCATAGTAACCATTTTTATAGAGAAAATTTGCACAATTTCATATTTTTATACGACTTTTTCTATTCAGACATTTTCTGTGGGCCTAAATTCTTCGACTGGAATTTTCTGATATTTTTATACTCTTTTCATTCAAAAAATTCAATAAAAAAACTTAGAAAATTAGAACTATGAAATCGCTATCATTTCAATAGAATGGAAAAAAATCACACAAGAATGCTAATTTTGCATGAAAATATTTATTTACATCACCCTTTCCTCCCAAGAAATAGTGATACTGTTACGCCCCAAATGGTTTACACTCAATTCGTCTGTTCGATTAATTTGAAGAATTGTTAAATTGATAATCAAGGACTTCTCAAATTCGTCATTAGTCTCATGAAGCTTCTCCTTAGCCAGATACACCTTCTGAATAGTTTTCATATAAGGAGCTTGGATGCTCTGAATACTATTTTGCATCTCTGTAATCGCCCTGTTCAACTGTCCATCGTCATCTTCACCTTGTCCTCCTCAATGTTCTTAAGACTATTTGGCAACAAAGAATAATTAATCCTGCGTTTCATCGTTTTCAATCTATGCTTTTTGATTGATATAAATTTGCTCAGCAGACTCCAGTCGGTCCTCGATGTCCTGCACAGCTCTATTCTATCTGAAATTCCCTTATAAATGAACTCTTTTTACAGAATTCTAATTTGCTAACCGTGATAAGTATTGAAGTGTCGTGATTGAACTGTGGAACTGAATTGAATTTTTGTGCTGTTATGAATTAAATGAGACAAAAGTAAATAAATAGGTGAATAAAAAGAAAGGAGAAATTAATGATTAAGTCAATAAATAAGGTAAAAATAAAAAAGATAGTAGTAAATAATTCCATTTGAATTATGACTTCCCTGGTGGATCGATCGATGGCTACTCGATGGGGACTCGATAGGAGATCGACTAGTGCACTCGGTCGATGGTCGGTCGATCGTTCGTTGATCACTGGATAGATGGTTAGTCGATTGATGGTCGATCATTGGTTGATTGGTGGTCGATTGTTAGTCGATGATTAGTCGATTAACGGTCGATGGTCAATTGTTGGTCGATTGCTAGTCGATCATTGGTCGATCGTTATTTGATCGATAATCAACCAATCGAATAGCCATCGACTAGCACTTGACTGAGTGCTCAGCTCGACCCTCATATCGAGTGATCCATTAGGGTTACGAAAAAAAAAAGATAACTCGGTCTCCCCATTCAAAAATTAAATTGTCAACAAATTCCAATTGAATTCCTCTCTTAATGAAGTTCTCATGTTTTCGACTGTGACATCACGTATGAAAAAATTTAATAGAAAAACCGAATTCGCTAGAAAATTCTATTGGATTTCTATAAAACTTTCTACAAGTTTTTGGCCGTATCTATTGACATGTTCAATAGAAAATATTCTATAGAAAAATTCAATAGAATTCGATTTTTCTATACAACTTATTCTATTGAAATATTTTCTATAGAATTTCTTCGACTCAAATTTTCAATTTTTTTTGTTTGATCTCTTGATGGAAAGAAAAGGAAAATAGAATGAAAAAAACTTCGAAAATTCAAGCTGAAGAAATTCTATAGAAAATATCTCAATAGAATAAGTTGCATAAAAAAATCGAATTCTGTTGACTTTTTCTATAGAATATTTTCTATCGAACACGTCAATAGAAGCGACCAAAAACGTATAGAAAGTTCTATGGAAATCTAATAGAATTTTCTAGTGAATTCCTTAAGTATTTCTATCAAATTTTTTCGTGCATGATACGAAAAAATTTCATAGAAAAACCTAGCGAATTAGCTACAAAATTCCAGTGGATTTCTATCGAACTTTCTACTCGTTTTTGGCAACTCAGTTGAAAAATTCCACAGCTTTCTGTGTTTTTTGTTTTCTGTGATGTTCTATAAGAAAGAATGAAAGGAATCAATAATTCCATCTTTCTATACAATTTATTCTATTAAGATATTTCCTATAGTAAATCCCTGGCTCAAATTACCCGTTTTTTTTGTTTGATTTTCTTAAAAACATGGAAAAATCATATCGGTGATTACTTATTGAAAATGTATCATTAGGAAAAGTTGTATACAAATATGAAATTTTAATGATTTTTCCTATAAAAGAGTTTTTATTGGATATAAACTGACCCACCTAGCCCAGATCATCCATTTTGGTGGTTCATTCAATTCACCCCTGAATTTCGTGAGAATGCTTAGTCTGTCAGATGTTTCTCCCGATATCTGCAACAAAAATTTGCAAAGATCAACATCTTTCTCTGCAAATGGAAAAAACTTGCTGAATTCATTTAATTACAGATAAAAGCCTTTGTCAGTTACTTTACACTCTAATAAAAATAAACAAACTCTTCAATAGCCAAAGTGGCTTGGGAAAAACTATAAAAAGAAAATAGAAAGTGTTTCTAATATAATCTGTCTGAATTAAAAGTTTCAAATATTATTATTCTTTTATTCTCATATTCAATCAATAAAAAAAATTGAGGAAAGTTTCCTAAACAAATTTTGCCAGCAGATTTTGTTTCTACTAAAATGATTTTAGGAATTGATGTGAAAAGACCTCTTATGTAGTTGATAAAATATTCATGAAAAATCTTTCTCTTTTCACTTTCCCCTTTAAAATCATTCGTTACTAAAATAATTGAAGACTTGCCAAGACGAATACCTTGTTTTTCTCTTAGCTATAAGCACCATGAATGTGAATATCATAAATATATTCAGGTGAATTATTCAATTCTTTCTCGGATCCAATGGCTTCAGATTATTTATTTTGTTTGTTGATTCAATTCACTAGAGCATCTGATCGAAAGTGTCAAAGTGTCAATTAATATTTCAAGAATTCTGCTAAAAAAAAAACTTTATCAGTTACTTTACATTCAAATGAAATAAACAAACCCTTCAACAAAAAAAAATCGTTCAGAAAATTTCATGAATAGCAAATAGAAGTTGTTTGTAATAGTCTGTCTGAATCAAAAGTTTCAAATATTATTATCCTTTTATTTTCATATTGCATCAATAACAAAATTGAGAAAAGTTTTCATTCAACAATGATATTGTCAATAGATTATAGAATGCGCAATTTTCGGAGTTTATGTCAAGAGACTTCTGTGTAGTTGAGAAAATCTATGGCAATCAGTCTTTTGACAATTTCCCTCTCCAGAATAACTCATTCTCAAAATGATTAAATATTNTTATAGAATGCGCAATTTTCGGAGTTTATGTCAAGAGACTTCTGTGTAGTTGAGAAAATCTATGGCAATCAGTCTTTTGACAATTTCCCTCTCCCGAATAACTCATTCTCAAAATGATTAAATATTCACCCAGACAAAGAAAATACAAAATACTCCAATACTTGCCAACTCATCAGCACCGTCAGTGACAATTAAATACATATATTTTTCTAAATTATGCAATTTTTTTCCTAAACCCACTGTGCTCCGGATATTTACTTTTTTTTTTGTTATTGTGGAGTTCAGTCGCCGTGCCGGCATTGAAAATCCATCCAAATTCCCCCACTCTATCCAATCACTGTAGCACGAACTAAAACCATCGAGGTACGAACAGCTCGTTCGTTTCGGTCCCTATACTCCATGCATCTCCAGTCACTAGCCAACTTCACGGACTGGCGCAACTTAATTTGACGACTGTGGGCGCGTTTCGCAATCAACTTAGTAGCAGTAGCAGTACTGTAACCCTATCTAATTTCGCTTTACTGCAGCTACGGTAGTTGATTCCGAAACGCACCCTGTACAGTCGTCAAATTAAGTTCTGAGAGTAACTAGACGTTGGTTGGCAATGTTGGATTGCACGGAGTATAGGAGCAACACGAACGAGCGGTTCGTACCTCGATGGTTTTAGTTCGTGCTCCAGTGATTGGGTAGAGTGGGGGAATTTGGACGAATTTTCAATGCCGGCAACGGCAAGTCAAACCTCCACAATAACAAAAACAAAGTAAATATCCGGAGCACAGTGGGTTTAGGAAAAAAATTGCATAATTTAGAAAAATATATGTATTTAATTATCACTGACGGTGCTGATGAGTTGGCAAGTATTGGAGTATTTTGTATTTTCTTCGTCTCGGTAAATATTCAATCATTTTAAGAATGAGTTATTCTGGAGAGGGAAATTGTCAAAAGACAGATTGCCATAGATTTTCTCAACTATACAGAAGTCTCTTAACATAAACTCCGAAAATTACGCATTCCATAATCTATTGACAATATCATTGTTGAATGAAAACTTTTCTCAATTTTGTTATTGATGCAATATGAAAATAAAAGGATAATAATATTTGAAACTTTTGATTCAGACAGACTATCAGAAACAACTTCTATTTGCTATTCATGAAATTTTCTGAACGATTTTTTTTTTGTTAAAGGGTTTGTTTATTTCATTTGAATGTAAAGTAACTGATAAAGTTTTTTTTTAGCAGAATTCTTAAAATATCCATTCTTGTCAATTTACATTGCACATATGGGGGCGAAACATCGAAAAGAAACTGACAATTTCGATCAGATGGTCTATAGTGAATTGAATCAACAAACAAACTAAATAATCAGAAGCCATTGGATGCGAGAAAGAATTGAATAATTCACCTGAATATATTTATGATATTCACCTTCATGGTGCTTATAGCTAAGAGAAATCAAGGTATTCGTCTTGGCAAGTCTTCAATTATTTTAGTAACGAATGATTTTAAAGGGGAAAGTGAAAAGAGAAAGATTTCTTATGAATATTTTATCAACTACATAAGAGGTCTTTTCACATCAATTCCTAAAATCATTTCAGTAGAAACAAAATCTGCTAGCAAAATTTGTTTAGAAAACTTTCCTCAATTTTTTTTTATTGATTGAGTATGAGAATAAAAGAAAAATAATATTTGAAACTTTTAATTTAGACAGATTCAATGAGAAACCCTTTCTATTTTCTTTTTATAGTATTTCCCAAACCACTTTGGCTATTGAACAGTTTGTTTATTTTTATTAGAGTGTAAAGTAACTGACAAAGGCTTTTATCTGTAATTAAATGAATTCTGCAAGTTTCTTCCATTTGCAGAGAAAGATATTGATCTTTGCAAATTTTTGTTGCAGATATCGGGCGAAACATCTGACAGACTAAGCATTTTCACGAAATTCAGGGGTGAATTGAATGAACTACCAAAATGAATGATCTGGGCTAAGTGGGTCAGAAAAAAATTAAATAAAATTTTCAGGAAATTTCTAATGTTTAATTCAATTCCCCAAAACGGCCGTAGAATTTGGATGATCTTGAGAACTACAATAGTCAAGACCTCAAATCAGAATTCATAATGAAGCTAGGAAAATCTCCAATCCCATCCACCCTTTATGAACCCGTTTTGCCACAGGATTCCACCCAAAACTCCACTAAATCACATTTCTGTCCAAGATTCGGTTTCGCTGATTATCTCGATAAAGAATGCTCCGACACATCACCAGCTTCTTTCTGGATCAGGAACTCCCGTATGGACTCCCTGACATGATCAACCCCCACCCCTTGCCCCCAGAATTCCAAAAAAAATGTCAAGAAGTTTAATTCGATTCCCCAAAATGTCCATAGAATTTAGATCCTCTCAAGAACTTCAATAGTGAGAACCTCAAATCAGAATTCATAATGAAGCCAGGAAAATTTCCAATCCCACCCACTCTTTATGAACCCGTTTTGCCCCAGGATTACCTCAAAAACCCCACGAAATCACATTTCTGTCCAAGATTCGGTTTCACTGATTATCTCGAGAACGAATGCTCCAAGAGACATCACCAGCTTCTTTTTGGATCAGGAACTCCCCTATGGACTCCCTGACATGACCCACTCCTACCCATTTGACAACAGCACATACAGTTTAAAAAATGTCCTGACATTACACTCAATCGTTTTTATTCCTGCATTATTTCTAATTGTTTTTTTTTTATCATCATTTTTTGTTTGTTTTTTAGACTGGACATTGTCGAGTATCCATCTCAGCTACAATTTTTGTGCTTTGTTTTCAATCTCTCTTCCTCCGTTTCAGATTTCAATGATTTTTTGCTTTTGAATAGCCATCTGGGTATTGATGTCTACGATGTGTCCATCTATCTCTTCCAGCTTCCCTGTTTGCCTAAAAGAAACAGAAGATAAGAAACGTCAATTACTCTCATGACATATTCTATCGTTAGTGGAGTCCTGAAAACGTTTTCAACAACAAAATAACATAGAAACAACAATGATTAACCAGGGCCAGGCAAAAATTCGCCCACAATCGCTTTGTGCAGATGGGCCAATTCTAAATGCAAAAAAATCAACCCATAGATCTCTGTCCTCGCTTCACGTATGACAAAATTTAATAGAAGAACTTAGCGATTCCGTTAGACAATTCTATTGGTTTTCTGTAGAAATTCCATTACTTTTTGGCCGTTTCTTTAAAAATGTTCAATTGAAAATATCCTATAGAAAGTCAATATGATTCGATTTTTCTATATAACTTATTCTATTGAAATTTCTTCGGCTCAAATTTTCTAAGTTTTTTTGTTTGATTTTCTTGAAAGGAAGAAAAGAAAAATTGAATGAAGAAAACTTCAATTAAGAAAATTCGAGAAAATTCAATAGAAAATATTTCAATAGAATAAGTTGTGTAGAAAAATCGAATTCTATTGAATTTTTCTATCCAATATTTCTAGAAATCTATGGGTTGATTTTTTTTGCATTTAGAATTGGCCCATCTGCACAAAGCGATTGTGGGCGAATTTTTGCCTGGCCCTGGTTAATCATTGTTGTTTCTATGTTATTTTGTTGTTGAAAACGTTTTCAGGACTCCACTAACGATAGAATATGTCATGAGAGTAATTGACGTTTCTTATCTTCTGTTTCTTTTAGGCAAACAGGGAAGCTGGAAGAGATAGATGGACACATCGTAGACATCAATACCCAGATGGCTATTCAAAAGCAAAAAATCATTGAAATCTGAAACGGAGGAAGAGAGATTGAAAACAAAGCACAAAAATTGTGGCTGAGATGGATACTCGCCAATGTCCAGTCTAAAAAACGAGCAAAAAATGATGATAAAAAAAAACATTTAGAAATAATGCAGGAATAAAAACGATTGAGTGTAATGTCATGACATTTTTTAAACTGTATGTGCTGTTGTCAATTGGGTAGGAGTGGGTCATGTCAGGGAGTCCATAGAGGAGTTCCTGATCCAAAAAGAAGCTGGTGATGTCTCTTGGAGCATTCGTTCTCGAGATAATCAGTGAAACCGAATCTTGGACAGAAATGTGATTTCGTGGGGTTTTTGAGGTAATCCTGGGGCAAAACGGGTTCATAAAGAGTGGGTGGGATTGGAAATTTTCCTGACTTCATTATGAATTCTGATTTGAGGTTCTCACTATTGAAGTTCTTGAGAGGATCTAAATTCTATGGACATTTTGGGGAATCGAATTAAACTTCTTGACATTTTTTTTGGAATTCTGGGGGCAAGGGGTGGGGGTTGATCATGTCAGAGAGTCCATACGGGAGTTCCTGATCCAGAAAGAAGCTGGTGATGTGTCGGAGCATTCTTTATCGAGATAATCAGCGAAACCGAATCTTGGACAGAAATGTGATTTAGTGGGGTTTTGGGTGGAATCCTGTGGCAAAACGGGTTCATAAAGGGTGGGTGGGGATGGAGATTTTCCTAGCTTCATTATGAATTCTGATTTGAGGTTTTGACTATTGTAGTTCTCAAGATAATCCAAATTCTACGGCCGTTTTGGGGAATTGAATTAAACATTTGAAATTTCCTGAAAATTTTATTTAATTTTTTTCTGACCCACTTAGCCCAGATCATTCATTTTGGTAGTTCATTCAATTCACCCCTGAATTTCGTGAAAATGCTTAGTCTGTCAGATGTTTCGCCCGATATCTGCAACAAAAATTTGCAAAGATCAATATCTTTCTCTGCAAATGGAAGAAACTTGCAGAATTCATTTAATTGCAGATAAGAGCCTTTGTCAGTTACTTTACACTCTAATAAAAACGAACAAACTGTTCAATAGCCAAAGTGGTTTGGGAAATACTATAAAAAGAAAATAGAAAGTTTTTCTGATAGAATCTGTCTAAATTAAAAGTTTCGAATATTATTATTCTTTTATTCTCATATTCAATCAATAAAAAAAAATTGAGGAAAGTTCTCTAAACAAATTTTGCCAGCAGATTTTGTTTCTACTGAAATGATTTTAGGAATTGATGTGAAAAAACCTCTTATGTAGTTGATAAAATATTCATAAGAAATCTTTCTCTTTTCACTTTCCCCTTTAAAATCATTCGTTACTACAATAATTGAAGACTTGCCAAGACGAATACCTTGATTTCTCTTGATGAATATGATGGTGAATATCATAAATATATTCAGGTGAATTATTCAATTCTTTCTCGCATCCAATGGCTTCTGATTATTTAGTTTGTTTGTTGATTCAATTCACTATAGACCATCTGATCGAAATTGTCAGTTTCTTCTCGATGTTTCGCCCCCATATGTGCAATGTAAATTGACAAGAATGGATATTTTAAGAATTCTGCTAAAAAAAAACTTTATCAGTTACTTTACATTCAAATAAAATAAACAAACCCTTTAACAAAAAAAAAATCGTTCAGAAAATTTCATGAATAGCAAATAGAAGTTGTTTCTGATAGTCTGTCTGAAT